TGGTTCCCGCTAGGGGCATGTACCAAAAAAAAAAAAAATCATATTCATTTATTTTTAAATCAGCACTATCCAGTAGAACTTTCTGCAATGATAGAACAGTTCTGTAATCTGCACCATCCAAAATTATAGCCACCAGGCACACGTGGCTATTGAGCCCTTGAAGTGTGGCTCAATGTGTTCAAGTGAGAAATGGAATTTTAAATTTTATTTGACTTTGATTTAAATTTAGATAGCTACCGTGGCTTGTGACTATCATATTGGGCAGTGCAAGTTTAAAACTTTCCCCTCTTCAAATGTCACAAGACACACATGAATGGGTCCGTATGCTGTAGCATTTCATAACATTTAACATGCAAGACCTAAATATCTAATAACTCTCCCCACTGAAAAGTGTGTGTGTGTGTGTAAGAGATTATTTAAAAAGACAGGTTAGTTTTAAGATAGAGCTGAGATGTTTTGAATTAAGTGAAAATATACCCAGATAAGTATATTTTAGGACTTCTTTAAGTCTGTTTTGTATGAAACAGAAATGAACCCTTAAGTCACATGTGTCTCAGAGTAGCACCCATATTTGATTGAATGTGCAGGAGCCCTTGCTGTTCTGCATGTGGGTAATGATCCACATTTGATTTCCAGCAGTTGGAACACACAAATGCCATAAAATCAGTACATTTGGCAGGGTCAATGTAAGAAACATTAAAATCTGTGAATACTTTTTGTGAGTTTATTTGAGCCAAAACTGTTGACAAATGTGGGGAAGCAAAACCTCAACGGATTGAGATAATTTTCCGGAGAATGGCAGTTTTGCACCTTATTTCATACATTACAATCAAAAGAGAAGATGTAAGTGGATTACATGAAATCCACTGGTGATAGATTAGGGAGGCGGGAGAAAGCAAAGGCAGGGTGGGGGTGGGGAGTACATCCTTGGGATTGCATAAAAGTTAAATGATAAACACATGTAGGTGGGTACAGGCTAGTTAACAGTCAACAATTAACATGATAATAATAGAAATGAGGGGATTTGTGGTCCCTGAGGGGTCTGGAAAAAGAAGAAAGATACCCCAACACTCCAAAGGTATGTTATCATAGATGCAAAAAGACAATAGGCTCAACTAAGGTGAAGATTGACCTTTGTCAGGAAAGATACTGGTCTAGGACATGACTACCTGCCATAAACTGCTTTTAGTTAAAAAGTTGTTGTTTTTTTTATCCTCACCCGAGGACATTCTTGCATGTATCTTCAGATAGAGCTGGAGGGAGAGAGGGAGGAAGAGAGAGAGAGAAACATGGATGTGAGAGAGACACATCGAGTGGCTGCCACCCACACAACCCCAACCAGGGCTGGGGACAAACTGCAACCAAGGTACGTGCCCTTAGCGGGAACCGAACCCGGGGCTCTGGTCTGCAGGCCGACGCTCTAACTGCTGAGCCAAACCGGCCAGGGCTAGTTAAAAAGTTTTAATTTCAGACCATTCTTTGTAGTTATTATAGGTCTCTGAGTTTATAAGACTTCCAAGCAGGCCTCCCCTGAGCTTTTCAGTTTTAGAATGTGGCCCCTTTTCGTCCACAGCAGCATGCTTCTTTTGATAATTCTGTTCTTGAGTGTAATGGTTTATTTGATTGTTTTACCCCTGGCCTCTGACACATATGAAAGAATGTTAGTGAACCCAGTCATTTGCCTTGGAGATGAGTAAAGCCAAACCAAGCCCCACTTTATTAGACTCAGCCTGTGACATTTTGATGTGTAGGCAGAGTTTGGGGCAGACAGCCATTAGACAGGAAATGAGGGCGATTAAGTTAGAAGCACACCCACCAGAGTTCACTTGCTAATGCGGGTAGGGAATTACTGTTGGTACAGGAAACAATTCTGAAAATAACGCACTTAGGCAGTTTTCATGATGTCTTTATATTTCCATGACTTTTTTTTGGAAGGGGGGCAGGTTTGGTTTATTTTATTATTTATTTTTTATTGTTGAAAGTATTACAGATGTCCCCCATTGACCCCCTCCTTCCCGCTCCAACCCCCTCCTGCCTGCCTCCATAACTTTTTGCAAGATACCATATTATGAATATGTGGCTCCCATGAATAGTGACAGCTTATATTTTTGTATAGTTTTCAAGAGCACATTTATACATTCCCTTTTGGCCCTCATAACATTTTGGTGAGATTTTAGGTATTAATTCTACTATTTCTAGACCCTCAGGAGTCAAGTGACCAGTGCACGGCCAATAAACGGTACAACCAGGAGTGTGACAGGGAAGGTGTGGGGCCATCCTACTCTTCCCCAGGCTGAAAGATGGAGAAGGAAGCAGGCATAAAATCTGATGACTGGGGAAATGGAGTTTGGGCCTCCTCACTTGTGGTATCAGGTGACATATCCTGAGAGGCAACGCTGACCCACTGCAACGCAGCTTAAACTTGAGCTTGTGGCCTGGGTTAGCACGATGAGGATTCTGGCCCCACCTCAAACAAGCTGTGTGTCCAGTGAATCACTTGAACACCCTTGACTTTCATTTCTTCTCAGATTGGTAAAAGGTCTGAGCTGGCAGGAGATCACATCCACAACATAAGGCCAATGTAGAGCAAAATGGCTTTATTGCATGCGCCTCGGTGCAGGTGGGTTGAGCCGAAAAGAGTTCAGCCTCAAATCAGGGTTGGGGTGTCGGGTATATACTCTACTTTTAGCTTCTGGCAGTTCCAGCTGATGTACTTTGCTGGCCCATTGTCTACTTTGCAGCAGGACTGGTCTGGTATCTCATCTCCTCTGGCATCTGCTGGGTTATCCATTGCCTTGTGGATAATCCAGATAAGCCTTATCCGTACTCAACAAAGGCTGAGCAAAGGTCATGCAGGCAACAAAATTTCCACAGTTTCTGCCTTTGGCAAGCTTTTACCTTTACCCTTTAAAACATTACTAACCCTTTCAATAGGGAGTTGAGCACAACTTCCAAATCCCCTTTCTTTGCTAATTCTATGACAGGTGAAGTTTCATAGAACCAGGAAGGATTCTGCATTTGTGTAGTAGTGGGAGTGCATGGATAAGGACATATCAACATTTGGGACTAGTTTATAAATATATTTTGTATTGATTTATTTTTAGAGAGAGGAAAGAAGTAAGAGAGAAAAACATCAATGTGAGAATGAGTGAGAAACATCGATGGGCTGCCTCCCACACGGCCCCCACTGGGGATTGAGCCACAACCGAGGCATGTGCCCTGACTGGGAACTGAACTAGGACCTCTCAGTCTATGGTACAATGCTCAACCCACTGAACCACACTGGCTGAGCTGGGGCTATTTTTTTTTTAAAACATTCTTTAGTTATTCCTGTGTTTTCTTTATGGAAAACCCTTTCGTAACAGCAGAATTGATTTTCCTGAAGTAAAATCTAACAAGAGGTCTCCTGATTGCTTTTAAGGATATGTTGATTTATATATTTATCTAACATACCTTGTCTTTTCTGCCACTTCTTAATCTTTTTCTATCTCCTCTCCATACTCTAGGGCACCTCCCATGCCCACCCTTTCTAATTTTGTCCAAAAGTCAGGGAGGAGAGTGAGGTTGGCTTTTATGATTTTGTTTATGTATTTATTGATACATGCTTCATATGTTGAGAGTAAATCTTGTTTTCTAACCTGTGAACATAATTCCCTCCCCTCCTTTAAAGAAAAAAAAAAAGAGTAGATTTTCACCTATCACGGATTTCAGACTTCTATTGCTAGAAGTCAGCAAAAACTTGGCCAAGGGAAGGCATGAAACACTTAATTCCTGGCAATGTTATCTCCATAGATCAGTAGAACTTTTGTGGAGTTGATCATTCTGCTGACTTATTTGGAATCAAGCTAAAAGAACCCCAAAGTGAGCACACAGCTAAGAGCAAAACTACAATTGCAGGGCTATCTCATGGAGAAAGTATATTTCTCAGGAACCCCAACATGGCAACATCTATGTCAATAATTGGTCCTGTTTTGAATATTCCATATGACTCGAGGTAGTTGCAGCATCTCATAAAGTTTCTAATTTGAAAATAGGATAGTTATGCAAATTTTTTCTCAAATTCTTAAAGTTATGAGAAGGTTGGTTGTGTTGGGAAACTTTCATGCTGCTGACCCATAAATCCTAGTGAAAATAGGATATGAAGCAGATAGGATTTCAAGGTGAGTTCACCACTACTACGGGGTGTTTCCTGGGTCTTGAGCCAACATGCATGTCTTAGTTCTAATGACCACCAAGTTCAGTGTCCCCATGGAGTTTGCTGACAGTGTATGACCAACTCCTCCACATTGAAGCTATCAAGGGAGCTGCTGTGGTCCTCAAACACACAGACAAAACCCAACCTGCCATTGACCAAAAGAAGAGTGACTAACCTAATCAAGGGATGTACAGCTACTCTCACTGTTCTCTAGTCCTTTTGTGTTGCTAAAGAAAACAGTTGTTATCAGAAGGGTGAAAAAGGAAAAAAACTGTGAGTGTCCAGGTACTACTTTATGCTATGCTATTTATTGCACTTGAGAAGAAGTTGAGATCAGCAGGAATAGGACTGAATGATGCTTAATCTCAAATGCACTGTGATTTAGGCTACAGTATGACGAGTAGATTCACAGAAAATAAATGGGTTCATCAGATCAGGCTTTCATTTTAACTTAATTTATTAAGATAATACCTCTAGTAGAGAGCAGACAGTAGGTAAGAAGGTCAGGAGCAATCTGCTTTTAAGGCTTTTGTAGAAGTTTAGAAATGATTAGTGGTCTTCAGAAGATTATAAATTTAATCTAAATTGAAATGCTTTTATACATTTTCTGGATAAGTTACTTCCAATTTAAGATGAAAGCAAGTGATCAGTTCCTCTGACAAAAGATGGAGACCTGGTGTGTGAGGGGAAAGTGATAATAGAGTATTTCTTAGTATTGTCTCTGAGTGGGGATTAATTATGGAAAGTGTAAATGGGGTGGGTTTATTTTTGATACCTTGCTAAATTAGTTCCTCTTTTGATCTAGTGATAGATACAGCGATGCCAGTGATGACAGCTTTTCAGAGCCAAGGATAGCTGAGTTGGAAATAAGCTGAAACTAATACACGCTTCAGAATAACAGGCACTGCCTGAGAAGGTAAGAAAGAATCTTTCAGTTCCTGTTTGTTTTACAGACAAGCTGTTGTCTTGGTGTAGAAGAGAGCAGGCACTACAGGACTTGTCTGCAGGATCCTATTTGCCTGGCAAAGGTAGCCGAGGGACTTGACAGCCGACTGCACCTTTGGGAAACTGGAATGCACCTGAGAAAGCAAGCAGTTAGCATTGGGAGAATGGAATGCATTTGAGGCCAGGGATAAATATTTAAGAGCACCTATAAAAGTATACCTGGAGGCCAAAGTGGTTAGAGTTCTAATAGTTTAGGTCAGGGATCAGCAAACTTACTCTGTAAAGGGCCAGAGAGTAAACATGTTAAGCTTTGAGGCCATGCAGTCTCTGTCACTGCTACCCCACTTTGCCACTATAGAGGGAAAACAGCCCTGGACAATACTTAAATGAATGGGCATGGCTGCATCCCAGTAAAACTCCGTTTCTAAAAACAGTTCACTGGCCCTTGGTCTAGGTCGCTCATGAAAAGCAGGTTTCCTTGGATGTGTGTAAAATAAAATAGTGTTTTATTTCTTTGCAGGGAGATGGCAGAGACTGGCTTGGCTTCTGAGGGCAGCTTATTTCCCCCGCTGTTCCATTAGGGCTTTACTAGAGGACAGCAGCTTGATCGCATTCCAGCTCAGAGGCCGATAGTGCCTGGGATGACCTGCTCTCTTTAGCAGGGACAGCAGCTTGGGAAAATTTGTAAAGAGTTCATTGCTCCAGTGTGAGCTCTCTTCCCATTTCACTTAGGGGCCGAATATTCATGTTCACCCTGGAAAGCATATCTGTATTGATTTAGGTTTGCCTCAAATCCGGAGACCTTTAGGAGCAAACCAAAATGATGTAAAGATTAGCTGGGATGTCCTGGCCGGTTTGGCTCAGCGGTTGGAGCGTCGGCCTGCGGACCACAGAGTCCCGGGTTTGGTTCCTGCTAGGGGCACATACCAAAAAAAAAAAAAAAAAAAGAAAAAAAAAAAAAGATTAGCTGGGAGTATTTTAAAGACATATTATTCAGGTTCTTATGTTGCTAATACTTATTTTTTCATTTTTTTTTAAAGGCTCTGAAGTAATTGAAGCCAAGATAAAGCAACTATCTGAAGAAATCGCCACACTCTTGAATCACTCTGTTCTCCACCAAACATGGGTTGAAAACATCGAAGGGAACCTAATAATATGTACTTTCATTAATTGGAACCAGAGGGGCACTTTCCTTTTGTCCTCCAGATGCGGCCTTTGGGTCTTACAGATTTCTCTAGCCAATTAAACTTTTCCCAACAATCTCAGTGGGGAGAAAGTGTGTTCTTGTTTTGTCTGGTGTATCAGGATATCAGGTGCTGAGTGAAGATCCAGGAACTGAACCTTCACTGTGCTGTATGGGAAGGGTGGCACATGCAATAACTAATTTTGAGTAAAAAATAAATCATTCTGTTACCTGGAACTCAACTACAGATGTGGGTGTGGCCCAAGCTTATTTTAATTTCTCATCCTGTTTATTTCTAGTTAAAAGGAAATTTATGTAAGTCCAAGACTGGGGGTGGCAAGTAAGGCCCGTGGTCAGGCACAGAATTTAAGGGGGCATAAAAAAACTCAGGAATCAAAATCAGTATATGTATTTTTTAATTGAGATGAAATTCACATAACAGAATTTACCACTTTAAAGCAAACAATTCAGTGGCATTAGGTACATCGACAATGTTATGTAGCCATTGCCTTTACTTCTGAAGCATTTCCAACACTCCAAAATAAATCCCCATACCCATTAGCAATCACTCTCCATTCCTACTTCCTCCTAGCCTCTAGTAACTGCTAATCTCCTTTCTATTTCTATGATTCACCAATTCAGGATATTCCATATAAATTGAATAGTATAATATGTGGCTTTTTGTATCTAGCTTCTTTCATTTAGCATCATGTTTTGAAGATTCATCCTGTGTATCAGTGCTTCATTCCTTTTTTATGATTGAATAAAATTCCATTGTATGTATCTACCACAATTTATCTCTTCATCTGTTGATGGACATTTGAGTTGTTTCCACCGTTCATCTGTGATGAATAGTGCTATTATGAACATTCATGTGCAAACATTTGTTTGAGCACCTGTTTTTAATTCTTTTGGGTATATACTTAGGAGTGGAATTGTTGGGTTATATGGTAATTCTGTTTAAATTTTTGAGGAAGCATCAGTAATTTTTTGAATGCTATATTTTTTAAAAAATCAATTAATTTTAAAATTTCACAGTGAACAAAATATCAAACTTAAAAATAAAGACAGCCTGGCCAGTGAGGCTTAGTGGTTGAGCATAGACCTATGCACCAAGTGGTCACTGGTTCGATTCCTAGTCAGGGCACATGCCCAGGTTGTGGGCCAGATTCCCAGTGCGGGGCATGCAGGAGGCGGCCAATCGATGTTCTCTCTCATTGATGTTTCTATCTCTCTCTCCCTCTCTCTCTCTCTAATAATCAATAAAGAAAAGAAGAGAATGCAACTCATCACCTCCCTTACCTCCTCCAGTCCTGGCCCTGTTATACAACATTCTCAACAACTATACTTTTTTTAATTTTAATGTTTTATTTTTTATTGATTTTTTAGAGAGAGAGGAAGGGGGAGAGAGAGAGAAACATCAATGTGAGAGCAAAACATCGATCAGCTGCCTCCTGTATGCCCTCTACTGGAGATCAAGCCTGAAACCCGGTCATGTGCCCTGAACAGAAATTGAACCGGGACTTCTCAGTCCTTAGGATGACACTCAATCCACTGAGCCACACTGGCCAGGCTCACTAAGTTTCTTGATTTTCCTTGTTCAATGTGCTTGAGTTGAATTAGTTGTTGACTACATTTGAGCTTTCTGGTACTAATTTAAATATTTTAACTGCTCGGTTACTTTTTTGTGGTTGTTTTGGGGCTTTTAATGTTTTTTTTCTTTTTCTTTTTTATTTAGAGTGGGAGGGAGGAAGTGGGGGAGAGAGAGAGAGAGAGAGAGAGAGAGAGAGAGAGAGAGAGAAACATTGATGCGAGAGAGACACATTGATTGGCTGCCTCCTGCACGACCCCAACCAGGGCTGGGGATCAAATCGCAACTGAAATATGACATGCCCTTCATGGGAATGGAACTTGAAAATGGTCCAAGGGCCATCACTCCAACTGCTGAGCCAAACAGGCCAGGGCTGGGGCTTTTAATTTTTATCTCTTAAAGCGTTACAGTATTGTTTTGTAGTGCTACAGAAAATTCATTTGCAAAACATGCAGAAATAAAATGAATAATCCTGATAAACAAACAAACAAAAAGACCTTTAGGGTTCCACTTGTGAAAATTAGAACTTGAAGATCACAAGGGGTTCCAAATAAAAAGCCTGCAGGTAGGTTAAAAGCGGAAATAGGCCTCCTAGAGAGAGGACTATAAGCACAGAGGGCACACTGTAGCATAACAAAGGAGTAGTCTGGTTTAAATGGACGTTTTTAATTGTAATGATTATGATTTCTAAAGTCACTTACAAAAGAATGCTTTCACTGCTGGGCTAATGATGCATGTAAATAGGACCAGAAGGAAGGGTACTTAACATATAATAAACCAGCCTCCTTGTTGTTGCTACACAAGGTTTTTCTCTTTTGGAGATACCCTTGAACTTGGAATCCAGTGAAACTGCAAAATGGTAGTAGTATGGCTGCTTAGGCTGGTAGAACAGCTGTGGGACATCAACACATAGAAAGTTATTATAAATCATTCATTCAATAAATCATTCTGAGCCCCCAGCATAAGCCAAGCACCATGTCAGGTGCTGGGGAAAGTGTAGGGGAGCAGAATTTGTCCTCAAAATATGTCTCTTTGGCATAATCATTATTTTAGCCTGATTATGTTTAGGAAACAGCACACTTAGAAAAGCTCTGAAAATTGAATACAAGTTACCCTTTTGTAAGAGACATTTACATTTATAAGAGAATCTCCATGTGTAAGGGTGTCTCCCTCTCAGTCCCAGGAAGAGGAGGATGACTAAATCTGTAGAAACTCTCATCAATGGAGAAGGCACTGACCTAAATCTATGTAAAAGCCTTACCCTTGTCACTTCCCATAACTGCCCCCCACAACATCTTCTTTTGTCTTTAGCTGCAGGTGGTATTTAAGGTGGAGGCTTGGGCCATTTTGGGGAATTACTCTGTTTTCCTGAGTTTCTCCCATGTATACAGGAGGTATCCATGTTATTAAACGTCTGTTTGTTTTTCTCCTGCTGATCTTTTTGTTTTTCTTTATTGATTTTTTTTTACAGAGAGAGGAAGGGAGAGGGAGAAATAAAAACATCCCTTAGGGAGAACATCGATTGGCCGCCTCCTGCATGCTCCCCACTGGGGATCGGGCCCACAACCTGGGCATGTGTCCTGACTGGGAATACAACCGGTAACCTCTTGGTGCATGAATCGATGCTCAACCACTGAGCCACACCGGCAGGGCCTGATCTGTTTTTTATTACTGGGGGTGGGGGTGGGGGGACACGTGGTCTCAGCCAAGAACATAGAAGGTAGAGGTAAAATTAATTTTCCTTCCCTGCAGAAGCAACCTACCTTTTTGCATCTGCCTGATGCTTGGGGGAAGGCAGGCTGTAAATGAATCTATAGGAAAATAAGTCTTTAATTATAATTGTAATATGTTCAGGGGGCTATGAGATTGTAAAAGAATAAGATCAAAGAGACTTGTGAGTATAAAATGGGGTCTTCTGATAAACTGGGGAGCCAGGGAAGGCCTATTGAGCAAATCTGGTAAACATTTAACCCAAATTCATACCTGTTGTCACACAGTGCAAAGACAGTGGCAAAGAGCTAGGAGACCCAGTGGAGATGTGGTTTCCCAGACAGGCAGGGCAGCTGGCTGAGTGGTGGCACTGTTTCAGTGGTATCATCACCTGCTTGGTATCAGTCTTTACTTATTTGATTGAAATTTAGATTGTGCTGAAGCTGAAAGGACTCATTATTTTTTGTTTTCTCTGTAAATCACCTAGTTCCATTCTTAATTGTCATTTTTGTTGCTGTATTTCTTACTTAAACCTCTATTTTGTTGAAATAAAAAGTCCTGGCTACATGCACATCTATGCTCTGTTAAGGTTAGTGCCAAACATTGGCACTCACCACCATTGCCCCTAGAGCTGAGGTTCTAGAACCCTAAAATGCCATCCAAGATAAGGTGAGATATTCAGAAACATGGCCAGAAATCCAAAGTTGGTGAGATGCTACCTGTGGGGTTCCTTTCCACCCTAGTGTCTTTGGAGTTTGGTTGGATTTCTTTTCTTTTTTTTTTTTTTTTAATTTTATTGCATGGGTGGAGGGGGGGAGATAGGTGGAGGGGTGAAGGAGGGAGGGAGGATGAGAGAGAGGAAGAGAGAGAGAGAAGGAGAGAGAAAATGAGCACATCTGGTTGGATTTCTTGAATGGAGCAAGGAAGAGTTCAAGATCATATAACAGCACTGCGTCTGAACCTCTCTCCCCCTAGGCTTCCAAACTCTTCCCAGTACCTACCTTCTAGCTCATCAGTTTTATTTATGGATGAAGAGATGTGGGATTCTTCCAGTCTATAAAATGAAATCACACTTGTATTCTCAGTGTTAATGGTAAGGAAGTAGGCTCTATACTGTCATTAATCTGAGCAGCAGTATTTGACTTGTATTTACATTTGAATATGGGTTTATTAATAAGCCAAATGTAATGATGACCTGCCATTTTGCCCATAACTGCTTTTATTAACAGAAATAATAGGTGAACCATTTTGAAAACCAGTTCATTCTATCATGACCCACACTGCCCTTGAACAAAGTAATTGGATTTCCATTATTCTTTGGGTTTGCTAAACATCAAGATTTTTTACTGATCTGGTGCACATCCTACCCTATTTCAACATACACTTTCCATGTGGGGCATCTAGGCGCTGATGGAAATGCAAATTGAATTTGTTGAGCTGCTTTTTGCCATGCAGCTTTTGGTGAATATCTCTAAAAGATGGCGACAAATTCTATGGATGTCATTCAGTTTCATCTCTCCTGAGTGAGGCATACTTTCCACCCCTGCAGCTTCTTTGGTATTACCTGTTTCCTCTGAGAAGAATACCAGTGAAGATCTGGGGAATCCTAGTTGGCACTGTTAGGTTATGTAATTCCTTTTTAAGCCTTAATGTTAAGTTTTAAACTTTCCATCTTTTTTTTTTTTGAACAAGAAATTGTTTTGAAACTAGATGCATTGCTTTGATTTGTTTTCTCTGGGGGAGAGTATCCTTTCAGTTAATGTGCTGAAAGTATTTGGTAAAGTAAGATAAAAAACTAGAACCTGCGGGTTGGCGCCAGCGTTTCAGGAAACGAAACTTTTCCATGCTGAATCGTCCTCTCTAGGGGATTCTCGGAACTGGAGAAACCTCATCGCATGCCACAGGCCAGGACAATGAGACTACTTATTATAATGGTCACTTCTGTAGAGCATTGAATGACAAGAAATCAATATTTAGTTAATTTAGATTATCTACGTTTCTGGAGTAGCAATTTCTGAATATATTTGCATAAGTATATATATTGTTTTAATGTCAAATTTGAGAAGTATGAAGACTCAGAAGTAATTTTCAACCTAGATTGTGACTTCTTTGTTGCCACCATTGATTCATACCAGGAAGATTTCTGATAGGATGAGTGTTTTTCATGGTTTTGGGAAACATCTTTGCTTTTCTGAGTGAATAGCACAACTCTATGGTTTTATACCTTAAGTCAAATGTTTTTCTTCTGTTCTCCATTATCTTTCATTCGTTTCAACCTTCCTAAACAAAACTCTTAACCTGGATTGAAGAGGGCTCTATTTTAACCTCTTTAAGAAAGAAAAGGCAAAGAACATGATTCCACATTCTTTAGTGTTCGAAGGAGGCGCTATCTAAAGCAAGGGGGTGGTAAACTGTGGCCACAGGCTAAAT